ATAAAGTTGGTTTCAAAGAAGGAAACAACAATAAATTATAAACCTTGAGAATGAAATCAACAACAAATTACAAACCACGGGGACGAAAATCAAAATTTCGAAGCCACAAGGACAAAAATCGTAATCTTCCACAAATCATAAGGACGAAAATCGTAGATTACTCTAAAGTTAAAATGATGGGACCTTGAAAAGTTTGAAAATGCTTGAAAAATATGTTTTCTAAAGAGAAGATTGTCTACTTTACTAACGTTATGTTTCGGAAGACCCTCTAAGGAGAGTACCGAGTAGGATCTAAGTTCAGTTGTGTCATCAACCTTCTTTATAATTGCCATCTTACTTGCGTTTACTACCACCTTTACAACTGATTTATAACTGCCATCATACAACTGCCTACCCCCCCCCCTCCCATTTTGGTATCAGAGCATTTACGTTCCTTTTGCCTACCATTCTGATACCATTTTGGTATCAGAGCATTTCAGTTACGATCATCATTTTGTGTGTTCATATAAGTGTTATTTTAGCTACGTTTTGTTTTTTATTTCTGTCTACCTACGTGTTTTTTTTATTCCGCCTAGTTGTGTAAGTTTAAGTTGTTTGTTGCATAATTATTATTGTGTTTATTTGTTGGTAAAGTTGTTGTGTTTGTTTGTTTGTAAAGTTGTATAAAAAACAAAAAATCTTTTTCCTTGTGTTGTTTTTTCAGTTTAATCTATTAGTGTGTTTAATCTGTATTTTATCTTTATATGTTAATCTTATTTATTTATGTGTTTCTTTGTTTTTTATAAAAAAAAAAATTTGGTTTATCCTCATGTCAAAAGTTTTAGACTTTTTTTTTTTCTAAAAATGATCTCAGACGTTTGTTTAAAAAAAGAATTTATCTCCGTACACCTTCAATTAATTTCCAATAAGACTTGTAAAATTATTTTTCCTAAAGAACTAAAAATGGTTTTAAATGATGGAATTTTTTTAATTTAGAAGATCAGTTGCATTTGTAAACAGATTTCGGCTGAAGAATACATTTTTTATGACAAAGACAAAAATATTAGAGTCGGTTTATTATATGATAGTTTTGCAGCTATTTATACTATTATAGAAAAGACCATCAATCCAGACTGTGACCGGGATATATATATATATATATATATATATATATATATATATATTAAGGTTTTTGAATTATTGAGTTGGTGATGAGGTGGAACGAAAAAGGCGTGAAAAACCTCAATAAAAACCCTAACATTCTAGATGCTCTATATATGTGTTGTTTAATCATACATGGTTCTTGAGTATATACATCATGTGACACAGGACTTGCTTAAAAAATATTTAATTTGGTTTCACGTGTGATAATCATTGATATTTTTCTTATTCTGGGACAATAACGTTATTTGTTTTGTTTGGATACATAGTTTTGTCCAAATAAACTTCTTAAAACACCTTTGTGTTAGAGATATATATACTACAACAAAATTGAGTATATTAGGACATCCTATGTCTTTAAACGTCTCAATAGACCGTTTTATAGAACTTAATTTATAGGAACAAAATATAAAACGTTCTATCTAAAGGTGTTCTAATAAGTTTATACGACGCTTTCGGACGTCTGAACAAGTTTTTTAGGACATCTTTAATACAAAGTGTCGCATTAGCAAGTTTATAAGACACTTTTGAGAAAGTGTCCTATAAACTAATTTTTTATAGGACACTTGTTTTTATAGGACAGTTTTTCAAATAGTGTCCTATAAAGTTGTTAATGGGTGAGCTTGGCTCCAAAGGTCAAAAGTACCAGGAGGTCCCATGTTCAAATCCAATGAGAAATAAAAATCCTCTTGTCGCCACGGAGATTCAAATGCGGTCACTCCGAGCTATCTGCAAAGCAGGTGGTCGTCCTGGGATTAGTCGGCTTGCATAACGGGTTGGATATTGAGGTTAATAAAAAAAGTTGCTAATGGGACGCTTTATATTAAAAGTGTCCTAAAAAACTTATTACGACGTCAAAAAATATCATATAAACTTATTACAACACATTTAGATATGACACTTTAGTTTTTTGGTCTTGTAAATGAAGTTATAAAGAGGTCCATTAGGACGCTTAAAAATTGAAAGTGTCCTATAAACTCAATTTTGTTGTAGTGATAATGTGGTACTTGTAAAGGTATTTAACCCCTATTATAAGGTTGCTCTAGTGTTTGTTGCTATTGATGTTGTAACGGATTTTCATCTATATGGACAATGAGCTTTGATGTGTAGTGCATCTATATCCTCGTGTTGGGATACATAGCTTGGTACTCATATAATACTGAAATTTTTATCTTTAAATGTAAGATTAGGTAAACACATATGACAAATCAACAAAGCATCATACATCCTATATGTTTTGATGCTATGTAATCCTCTCTATGGCACTACGGTATTTGTTTAATTTATGACTCTAATTCTTTTCAAGTGATGCTTAGGCGAAACGATCATACCATTTACAAAAAGGAAGCTCTCATGGGTCATTTCAAGAAGGACAAAAGGTGAGCCATGGAAACAAGTACCATTTACACAAGACGAAATAAGTACGTAACTAGTTCGTGAATAAAAGAAGCATGTTCTCACAAACATGCACCTATAATTAACTAACACGCCAATATTCGATGACTTTAGACTACTTGGTTTTGGTCTGAACACATATAAATCAATAATACGTGTTGGGTTTTCAGACTCGAATGTTTGGGTGTGTACAATATTATTGTTGCATTCTTTTTCTTAAGTAACATAAACATACGAGATATCTCTACTTTGTTGATAGCATGGTGATTTCCTTGACAAGGTTCTCCACATTCAAGAAAGATGAACCATTGGGAGATGTAGCCATTTTTGCCTTTTCCTTCCACTCCATGGCCTTGTTTCTCATTCTCTGACCTCCTTCTCCCATCAACTCCTGCACCAGCTTTTTAACTTCATCCCTTTTCACATTCTTCCCCATCTCTAATCCAACATCCCATTCCTTGCATATAAACCTACAATTGGTCGTCTGATCCCACAAATAAGGCCAACATATCATTGGCACCCCAGCCGACAAGCTCTCAATGGTTGAACCCCATCCACCGTGGGTCAGGAACCCTCCAATAGACGTGTGATTTAGGACCTTTTCCTGTGAACACCAGCTTGCTATAAAACCTCTTCTTTTTATCTGCTCCTCAAGTTCAGGAGGCAAAACTGCAGATTGATCTCCTACAACCAAGTTAGATCTGAGTATCCAAAGGAAATAGTGGTTGCTATCAGCAAGTCCCCACCCAAATTCTATCAGCTCCTCTAAAGACATTACTGTTGTACTCCCATAATTCACGTAAATGACAGAGTTTGGCTCCTTAGATTCGAGCCACTTGAAGCAGTCTGGTTCTTCTTTCCATAAGCTGTATCCATTGACATTCGGCRTTTCTGCATGTTCCGTTGTCTGATCAAGCAGTAATTGCACCGGACCAATCGTGTAAACATGGTGAAACATTGATGAGAGAGCTTTGACAATACTATCCTCCAACTCATCAAATGTGTGAAGGATAATATTTGAAACCCTGTTGGAATTTTTTGTAGCTTCAACAAGAAATGTGAAAGGTTTGTCGTTGGGGTCCGTGGTCCAAACAGTGGTTGGCAGATCCTTTAGTCGGATACTTTTCATCCCCGGAATCCAATCAATAATGGTTTCTAAAAACCCGTTTGTCAAGTAACTTTCATCTACAGATCCATACATGAATGACCACAAGTGTTACTTTTTGTGCATAGAAATAGAAGAATCGTATCCAAAACAATCGCCAAAAAACAAACCTTGAACTGGAGTAAGTCCTTTGTCGATGAGAGATTGGATCTGGTGAAACCCCATGAATCCACAAGCAGAAAGCGTCCAATAGAGCATGATAGGGATTTCAAGCTTTTGTGCAGCATCAATGGGGAAAGTTGACATGAAGCCATCCGAGATGATACAAGTGGGAGGAGTAGGAAGCTTGGTTGCAAGCTCGAGAAAAGGAGCCAAGAAATTCGTTTCCACGTAATGCAGAAGTAGCTCTGAGTGATCACTGTCATCTTCAGAACTGCGAGGAATGCCGTCGGGAATTGTTTCAAGATGGAAATCAGGTGAGGCGCTGAGGTAGTGTGGACCAGCGGACTTGAGCAAACGCTTGTGAACGAACTCTGTATTGACGAAGGTTATTCGGAGTCCCTTGTGATGAAGAAGCTCTGCTAGTTTGAGCATGGCCTTTACATGGCTTTGTGCTGGAAATGGGATAAAGATGACATGAGGCTTCTTCTCAGCTGTGGCCATTGTTTCCGTCCTCCTTTGTCTATTTGGCCAAGTATATGGGTTTTAATMGACAAAAACATAACACATGCTATTGGAAATTTTGCAGTGATTGATGGAAACGTTTATGGTGGTTGTCTTCCAATCCTAAGGACCACACACCAATATCAATCTCAAGTGGCATATCACGTAGGCATTGATTCAATGTTTGATTTTGGGCATTGATTCAATCTTTGATTTTTAATTTGGTAAGCCATAATAGCATCCACAATCATACAATACTCGATTATTAGATATTTATTACCATATTTAACACATCAAAAGTTTATTTTGTTCAAAGTGCTAAAAATATATTATAATACTTGATTGAAGCATCTTCCTGATTCAAGATAACCCTAATTCAAGATAACGAATTTAGGGTTATTTGGGATTGCTTATAAAAAAATAACTTGTTGACTTATTCCGGTGTAACACTGGTAATAAGCACTTTTGAGTGTTTGGATAAACAACTTATAATGGTGTCAAACCGATGATAAGAAGTTTTTTAAGAAGTTAAATAATTCTGCCTTACAATAAATTGATAGGTATTTTTGTTGATACATGATATTTATACAAGTGATAAATATTGCTAATATTGCTTTAGTTGGTATAAATATTTACAACACAAACGTACCACAAGCCTTTAAAATCTATTGGGGGATAAAACCACATGCCTCTAAATTCTGTTGATACATGATATTTATACAAATAATAATTAACTTTACTGGAAATTGACTCAGATCGTCAATCCCTGCATCCCAATTAACTAACCAAATTTTACGCATTTGCGTGAACTACATTTCCTGATTAAGAAAAGAAAATAAAATAGTTTATGGAAATGTGTAAACCATTTGCATAGGTTTAGCAGTCTATTCTGATTTCCACGTGACCTAGGCTGGAAGATATGGTCGGTTGCTTATATGGTGTCTGGTGTAGCCACGTGTCTTACAAAAATAAATAACATAAACTTACGTAACCTATTTGAAATATGAATACTAGGTCTCATATGTGAATTAAATGAAGGGATGGGGACACCACCCCAAAACTTTACGCAACCAACCCTAAGGTTTTTTCTACAGACTTTCTTTGGCCTTTCCAACGAGCACTCCAACTCCCAGGTTTATACCCTTCTAGAAACCCATATGGCATATGATAGCCAGGTAACTTTTAACTGGTTTTTTTTGCTTATTTTGCTGTTTTTATGTTGGTTTACTTCGACCCAATTTGCATAAACCATTTGTTTTTGTTTTGTTTCTTCAAAAGAAGGGACGGAAAAACCTTATTCAAAAAACGGAGAACTTACAAATGAGAAGAGGACCAACCCTCGATAAGAAAAAAGAAGACGATGACATTACATGTGATGTGATCTTGGTCCCTTTCCAACTTGATTCATCGGTGATCATGAAGTTTATTATGTGATTTGGAATCCTTTTTTCAAAAAGTTTGATTAGATAAGGATACCAGAAAAGCTTGTGTGTTGATATAATCTATCTCTTACCCAAAAAAAATGTCGTGCTCTCTGAGCGATAGATTGGGTGAGAAAATAGGAATTCCCAACTGTAAAACGATAAGGCAAAGGAAACTAGTGTGGCGCTACAGCGAACCAAATTTCAGAGTTCATCATTCTATAGATGTTAGAGGGTATACTAAAGTTAGATTGGTCTCTGTTATCTTGACAGGAAAAGGTTGCCGAAATTCAAAAAGAATTGAAATGCATAGATTGGAGAACTTTTTGTTTGGGAGGCAGGAGGTTTCTGACTTGGTTTTATGCATCTCCTCTTTTCTGTTAATCTGAGCAATTAGTTTCTCTTGAATCAAGGTTCAATTTCTGTCATTCTCTTTTCTTTCACTGGTTCAATTCTTTAATCAAAAATCCTAATTTGGTGTATGTGCAGGGACATACATGCTTATTCTTGTAGTGGTGGTGGCAATGGATGGTGGTGATCAGTGGACGACCATGGTTTTGGAGGTGGTGGAGGAGGTTATAATAGAAGAGAAGGTAGAGGTGGTGGCAATGGACGGTGATGGTCAATGGACGACGATGATTGTGGAGGCGGTGGAGGAGGTTGTAGTAGAAGAGAAAGTGGAGGTGTCTAAGAAAAAACCTTTTTTCTCCCACCTTGTCGTAGTTCTTATCCTTGTCTCATGTCGCACCAAACGTGGGATAGTGAGTACTTGTCCCATGTCGCGCCAAACGTGGGACAGTGAGTTTTGTCCCGCTCTGTCATATCCCATGTACCAAACGCATCCTTATTATTATGTCACACTAAAGATGTTCACAACCACATGAGAATATTTACATATGCAAGTCATGTTGTAATACCCATCATTATCATTCTGCTAAGAATGGGTATTTGAGTGTCTAGATTTAGGCTTACAACCGGATAAATGAGGGCAATGTTCATTGGACTATGTTTTGTTTACTACCTTGGTTTACTTGCCAAGTAATTTTTCTGTGTTTACTAATATATCCTTGAAAGGTGCATACCGTCTTTTAAATGTTGGACTAAATGGCCTTGCTGTTTCTGCATACTACAACAAAATTAAGTTTATAAAACATCATCAATTTTAAAGTATCCCAATAGATTGCTTTACAAAACTCAAATTATAGGAGTAGAACATAAATAGTTCTATCTAAAGGTGTTGTAATAAGTTTATATGACACTTTTAGACGTCTTAACAAGCTTTTATATGAGATTTTTAGACGTCTTAACAAGCTTTTATATGAGACTTTTAATACAAAGCGTCCATTAGCTATTTTATATGACACTTTTAAAAAAGTATCCTATAAACCTATCTTTTTATAGAACACTTATTTTTATAAAACAAATTTTCAAATAATGTCCTATAAAATAGCTAATGCAACGCTTTGTATTAAAAGTGTCCTTTTTAACTTGTTAAAAACGCTCAAAAGCGTCCTATAAACTTGTTACAACACCCTGGATAGGACTCCTTATTTTTTGGTCCTATAAATTGAGTCTCATAAAACAGTCTATTACAATGCTTTGAAATTGATATTGTCCTGTATACCTGATTTTGTTGCAGTGGCACCAGCATTGAGATCTATTAATCTTGGGTGTTGCACTTTACTCACTTCTAATGGTATCATCGATTTAGCGAGATGTCTAGGTTGTCTGTTCTAACAGTAACTGTGTGATCACTAGGACTGTTTTTCTTCCATCCATTCATTGTTTTGGTTTATATAAGATACCCCAATAATTAATAAGGTGATAGTGATGAGCAGGACGGACCTATAGTGGTGCATATGGTGGTACGTGCCACCGTATTATTCTTCCGTCGAAGGATAAGGGACGGACCTATAGTGGTGTATATGGTGGCACGTGCCACCGTATTATTCTTCCGTCACAAGGGTAAAAAAATTTAAATTCGTGAAATGTGCAATCATATTAATTTGTTGTGTGTCACCATATGTATTTTGAAACTAAAATGAGGACAAGTTTTATTTGGTAGAGTTCGTTTGCAAGACTTTTATTTCACCCTAGACCCAAGCTCGAATTCTGTTAGTGTCATTTTCTTAGTCAAATGGTGGTCATCATTTGAAAAAAAATTCTATATATTTGTTTCTTATGGTAAAACAGTATCATCGTTTGAAAAAAAAATTTGGATCCGTCCATGGTGATGAGGCTGAAGCTGCATATTTTGATGGGTGTGGAGAGCCTTTGAAGGAACTACCGCTGAATCATGTTGGTGGGGTACCTGCTTTCAACAACTATTACATTAGCCTTTTTCAGTCTTTCATTATCTTTGTTTTAAGTGGCGTTTGACTTTGCGTTCATGATATTAAATCCTCATTTGCGATCCATCGTCACTTGATTGTGGTGTCCCTAACTTTTCTTTTGAAGTATGTAATATTTATACGCGACAAAATTCACACATACTCTTCATCTTTGACCTTTGGGACCTGATAGCCAATGACCCGTTGATTGTCACTAATAACTTAATTGGTGTTTTGCAGGCGGCAATGGTTTGTTGCAGGGAGGTCATTTTATTGCATAGGTACTATTTCTTTTATATTGATATCTTCTATTTTATCTACTGCAACGACATGTTGCTATAGGTAAAAAAAAAATAAAAAAAAAAAATTTTATCTACTACAAGAACATTTTGTTGCTATAAGTAAAAAATAAAAAATAAATATTTTATCTACTGCAACGACATGTTGTTGCTATGAGTAAAAAATAAAAAATAAATGTTTTACCTATAACGACGATATTTCATGCAGTAGATAAAAAGTGAATTTTTAAAATTTTCACCTATAACAACGACGTATCGTCGCAGAAGGTGGAAATATATTTTTTTGGCTTTTTTGAATTGGTTATAAAATAAGTTTTAATCAAATAATTTAATATTCAAATAATTAGAGAATAATTTTTAAAATTACTTTGAAACTGTAATACAAGAATTTTGAAACCATATTACAAAACTAATAACATAAAATAAATGTTAATATCTCAAACATATTAATACATAAATACCTAATCATAATACGAGTCACTTTCTGTAGTATCATCATGCGGCAGTTGTTGTAGCTGTTGTGGTACTCCGGTAGCTATCCCGCCATAGCTAACACTAATAATGTCTATGTGTCTATAACCCGGGGCGTGGGGGGACTAGCTGTCGGGTGGGGAGGTATACAATTGATGCACGTATCGACTAAAAGCACTTATTGCATCAAAGACATTCTTCATCCCATCTGCATAGACAGTTCAAAAAAGGATGAAAAACTGATACCCTTCCATTTTTGTCCAATCCCTCGGTTGTGTCCGCGACATTCTCCAAGTACTTTGGTGATGATTTCTTTCTCCTTTACAGAAGACGAGGTTGAACCATTTGTTCTTGTGTTTGTCGCTTCCTGTATTTCTTAAGAAATATAATAAGTAGTAGGAATACTAATATTATATATACTAGAAGAGTACTCGCGCAATGCAGCGAGATACATCGTGTTTTTAATATTTCATTTTATTCTTTATCTCAGTCGATGTTATAATATGATTTATGTGATTTTGAGAAAGCGATGATGTTTTTATTTTTGAATAAAATATATGTTTGACGATATCATACAAATTTRACAAAAATATATCGATATTAGTATCAAATTAACTATTTGAAATTCCTCATTTTTTGTATAATTTTTTAATCCAATTTTTTTATAATTTAATTTATGTACAAT